GCAAAAATTTTCACGGGACCGTAGGTGATACCCGACAGCGCGGGAATACTGAATTTGAATTTGAATTTGCGAGATCACTCGTGGGTAGGGGGTCATTACCTAATATTTCAGTTTCGTAGATTTTATAGTTCCCGAGATAATAATTTACCCGTCAAAATTTTTACGAGACTGTACTTGTTACTCGCGAGCAGGGAAAAGCTGAATTTAAATTTTCTAGGTAGCACATGGGCGAGGGACACTCTTACAGAATTTTAGCCTTCTAGCTTCCATGGTTCATGTGATAGTTTTATCCGCCCAAACTTTTACGGGGTCGTACGTGTTACCCGCGGGTACGGGAAGGCTGAATTTAAATTTGCAGGATCACACGTGGGTGGGAAACGTTCGCCTAAATTTTCAGCCTCCTAGCTTCTGTGGTTCCCGAGTTGAAAGTGCGGACATGTTGCTGCGGACACACACACACAGACAATCCCGTGAAACGAAAACTGCTTCCTTTATCTTTATTACATATGATATTTAGACCGATCTCGTATCTCCGGCCCTAATATTTATTACGCTAGCAAAAGAATTGGAAAGTCCCCGGACACAAAGTCAGATTCAAACGAGCGCATAAAACTGAAAAACAAAGCACTGTTTAAGCGGCGGTCAACAATGATAAAAAGTCACAACTTATAGTGGCGCCACTGCTTAAAACTGTTGCCTTAGCATGAGCGCTGATTTTACTGCTCATAAAATCATATAACCCAAAAGGCCATGTTGTGGATACACCGCTGGAACAACTTCTACAAGTCGTTGCTAGTTAATTTATGGGCTGGTGTGACTAAATTCTGAAAAAAGATTTACCTAGAGTATAGAAGATGTAGGGATTGAGTTGGAACTACTGCCGACGTTTTGTGCTTTTTTTATGGAGAAAGTTAAGGGACAGCTTTAACAGGATTAACAGGGGGCAAAGCGAGGAAAATAACCTTGAAATTTTTCACTCACTCAACTATAAGCGTGTTATTGAGTTAATTTGCACTGTCTGCTGTCCTTTTTTTAAACCTAAGCAACGAGAGTTTTCCAAAAATGCACAGCAAGTTAGAATCATTGGTTTTTTTTTGCAGTGCATTTTCGGCTGTAGTGGTTTATATTTCGGAACTAAATTTCTGTCATATGATAGTTTAGAGTTCGCATCCTGTGAGCGTTCTGAGGCTGTTCGCGAAAGAACCTCGATTTCACTGAGCGTGCCGGGTAGTGTAATTAGCAAATATTTATTCGAAGAGCAGTAAGTAAAAATTTTTATGACTTGGGGGTGAATTAGTATGGTGGATCGTCGTGTGGCGTAGTGCTCTGATTGTACGCACACTGTAGAGAAACAAAATCAAGTTTATGACTTACTGATGATGAATCGTACAAAGAGCAAATAAACAGCACGAAGTGTGGCGCTGGAATCTAACGAGCCTGTGGGCTTGCTGAACAAGAGATGCTGAAGCAGGGAATGGTCGATGATTAGATGAGGCCCAGAAGTGTATTAGACGAGGTCGAGTCGAAAA